ACACACACACACACACACACACACACACACCTTAGAGGAATGTATGATAAAATCTAATTATAAAAAATTCTATGATTTCCTTCAATTGATTTTTTTCTTAGAGAAACAGAATATCAGTACTTTAAAATACTCATTCCGCTCTAACTGATATATCCTTGAAGAAAAGCAGATAAAAGGAAGCACAGGCCCAACTTTTACTGAGAAAACATAACAGAAAACAAAGGATCATATACTTTTCACTTATCTGTCTTACCCCACCCTCTTAAGCACTAATGTCCATTACATATTTGTTGAATTTAATAAAAAGAAAATAATGACACTACTGATTGATTCAGAAGAAAAGGTGCTGCTAAAATAAGATAGTTGAAGTGCTATGGCCATGTAAGAATTAATTTATTTTTGTAGTAGAACCCAACAATACATTAGAATGGCTCTTAAATTTTAAATTCAGTTTCCAGAAAAGGAAAGCTAAAATGTACTCAGTAGAATCATGAGAAACATAGAAGGAGCTTGTGTCATAGAGTTCTTCCTTTCTTTCTAAGAAGGAGGTAAAAAGATGAGGTAGAAATTCACATTTCACAGTCTATGACGAATTTCTCACAGTATTGAACATACGTATGTACTTTTTTCTATAATGTATGATAATGAAGGTAGATGAAAACATTACTCCAAAAATTATGCCAACCAGTTTGAATTTTGGCAGAGACTGCTAAGCACTCTTCAATGTACATTTCCCTTTCTTACTAAGGAATGAAGCCCCTAATTTTTATATGGGTTCAAGGTCACCAAGAATAAAGACCACAATTCTCAGCTTTCCTTGCAGTTAAATTTGGGATGGACCAAGTTTTGGCGAATGGGGTGTAAGCAGAAGTAGCATGTTCAAATTCTGAGACATGACCTTAAATGAAGGAAGCATCTTTCTCTGTCCTCTTTCCTGTTTTTGGCTGGAATACAAAAGCAATGGCTGGAACTTTGGCAGCCATCTTGAGTCATATTATGGTCCTGAGAATGGCAATAGAGAGGATCCAGGGTCCCTGTCTTTAGGCAACCCAAGTCCAGCTCTTTGCTGACTAGCTCCAGAATTTTGAAATATGAAGAGATCTAGACCTCTCTATCTTATTTAGCCACTGTCATTTTTAAAATTTTTTTTATTTTTATTTTTGTCACTTGCAGGTAAATCTAATCCTAACTGATATAGACTGGCCAAAGCCAGTTCCATGAGGATAACTAGATAGATCACTGGTTTCTTCAAACTGTTTTAGAAAACTTAACACCAGAGAAGAAAGGAAAAGCATGCCTTAAATGGAAAAATAATTCAATGCTTTTAGTCAACAAAATAAGAACAATAACTCTGAGTTCAGAATTGACATGTCCAATTCTAAATTACATAGACTTTCAACTTTGGAATTCTTCCTCC